CACCGAGATATATGACTAGAAGTTAAGCCCGGTTGAGCCTATGCCTAACAAGTGAAATCAAGTAAAACACTCTCAACCTTAGCACAACATCCAACTAAGTTCACAAACAAATGGAAGTTTTAATAAGCATAATCAGAAACATTATATATACAGGTGCTGTTGTGCATAAATCCATCAGAAACATTCTTAATCAAGTCTGTAACTTGTTCTTTCAAGCTTTAGAGCTTCAACTTTGTGCTGTTTTTCACACGAAATGCAGAACCAAGTAGACCAACCTCATCCAGGTCCATCTCTCTCCATGTAGTATCAGATTAAAAATTGGATTATTGTTGTCATATCAGTTTTTAAATGAAATGCATGTGCAATTCGAATGTGCTTCAATAGCATGCTTCTTGATCTCAAAATCAACACCCCACCAATCCTGAAGCACAACAATCCCAAGATCATCTTCTTTCCCAATCACATAGGCATCAAATGCCTGCTTAATATTTCCCCCAGAAAAAAAGAAAAAGATAACTTAGAAAAGAAACAAAAGCAAAATCATAATTTCAAACGCATGATTAGCATTAATTTGATCACAATTCAACTTTTCAGTCAAAAAGCAAAATCATCATTTCTCTGTTCATCAAAATCTAACACTTTATAGTACTTACAAATTAAAAAAATATCATGTCTTCCCACCCAACTGAGGAAACAGGAAGGAAATGAAAAAATGGGGAAAACAAAGATAAAGCGATTAAATACATACGCGTAGAGGCACAGACAAGCAAATGAGATTTTTAGTCTCACCGTGTCGTCTCTCTGAATCTGGATTTTCTTGAAAGGTGAAGAGGAGGCAGATTCAGAAGCCATTGCAAGAACCTGATGAAGATGAATCGAGAGATTCCGAGAGAGGGAGAAGGCTGGGTATGTGAGTAAATTGGGTTTGGTGTTGACGAAGAGGGCTTTTGTGAAGAATCTAGAACAATTGGATATCATTGTCTCACTTGACACTTCTATAGCTGGAATTGATGAGTCCCAATATTCGGCGCAATGCCATTAGCGTTGTTGCAACGGCGTTATCGCAGCTGTTGTAGTGGCTTGCACAGTGTTTATAGTCTCTGTTCTCAATTTGGAGATTTTAGGATTTTGGGATTTTGTTTCAATCTAGGACGTAATTAATACGGGTCTATCTAATGTTTAATAAGTTTAGGGCATTAATCTAATTGAGTTACTTTTTAAAGTATGGGCCCTAATTTTCCCTTAATTTCTCTCTTTTAATAAAACCAAAAGTCCAACTGACGAACTCCAAAAGAGCAATCCAATATAGGGCCGAAATCAGCTCCAACAGAGTCCGATGTCCAATGCGAGTTGGGATTTGGAGTTGGGCTTGGGCTTGGGTAGTAGGTCTGTTTGGCGGGGTTAGGGCTTGATAAGAAAAAGTGCAGCGAACGGCCCAATCAAAAACTCTGATTTTTTAAATTTTTTTTTTTTTCAAAAATAACTGGACATTCGAGATAGGATATGGACCTCAGATCATCATCAAGAGACTCTTTAAATATGAGATACTCTCTATTTTAAAAATTCAACATTTAAAATCATGCTACAAGAGACTCTTTAAATTAATATTTTAATTTAGAGAATGGGTTTGACTCTCTAAATTTAGAGATCCAAACTTAACCTCTATAATTAAATGCATTCAAAATATTTCAATTTTCAATATAGGAAAATAATAAAATAATTTAAAGAAAAGCTAGTTAAAATAAAATATAAAGAAAAATAATATTTTTTGGGAGTAGTAAAATTAAGTGTTAAATATAAAGAGTTTGTTAGAGTACTTTAAAATCTTAACAATCTAAATTTATAGATACTCTCCAAATGATACAATATGTTTTTTAAAAATAGAGTATCTTGGAGATGCCTCTTGGTTGACCCTGGTTGATCTCCATAAAATAATTTTTTTAGGAGATCTGTAGTTAAAAAAAAAAAAATTGAGTTTATATATAATATTTAAATGTGTTATTAAAAATAAATAAAGAGAAAAATGTATTAAATTAAAATAGAGCCCAAAAGGAGGCTTAATTTAATTTAAAATTAATAATATAATAAAATAATTTTTGTATAATGAAGAAAAATTACTTTTTAAGAAGGACATCGCACTTATGGGTTGATTAAATGATCAACCATGCTACATGTCCACCTTTTTTACATCATTTTTTATATTGTCGCACGTGATGAAGCGTGATTAGACTTTTTTCTAAAAAAAAATACACTTTCCCGCCCAACACTTTCTGAACTCCAATGAAATGTACGCTTTCTTCGGTGATTGTGCGGGTTACTATTTGAAAGAAATGAGAGTTTTTTCATTTGAAAAGAAGAGTAATTTTCTTGGATGTGATTATGCAAAAGATATTGAGAGATGAGTTTAATCAATCACCTAAATGATGACTTCCACTGTCGCTCTTTTGGGAAATATTATATTGTGGACGACAACTATAAAAATTGCTCCGGGATGACTATATACTTTGCAAAAGGAAGCCTAAACATTTTGGTGACTCTTACGCATAGGCTCAAAGTAAAAGTGCCACATAGCAAGCCACGTAAGCAAAAAGCCAAACGAAGACACATGAGGTCAAAATATGAAAAAGTCAAACAAAATCGAAATCCTTGCACTGTAAGGACGACGTCCAAGCTGAGACATTGCCTCAAAAACGAAGCTGCCTAAGTAAACAAAGAAAGGAGTTGAAGCTCTCCACTTAGAGGACCACCTCAAAGATTCATCCGAGGCTTTCAAGCTCGTCTGTGGCTCACGAAGTCAACGCTGTCTCTCATAATAGATTCGAATATTTCTTAGAAGTGATTGATGTAACACTTATAATAAAGTTTGTCAGTATGTCGCCTATTGTATAGAACGGCTGACCCATTATTAATGTATAAATTGTATGAATAAACAGTGATGTGAAACTTTAATTAGGGAGATGAATCCACATGGTTCTGATCAAACGATCACCACGTTGGCCAAGGTAATATAAATAGGTTATCTTTGTAATTGAAAAGGGGTTGGATTATTGATTGAAATTTGGACAATCATATATTCGAAATACACACTTGAACTCTCAAGAATTTTATATAAACATTTGGTTGAATATTTGTCGTTTGGCTTACATATTCATCACGCAAATTTCAATATACAACATAGCAACTTCTATACATGTTTTATCTATCCTTACACATATTCTTATTTGTTACTGCATAGATTCGTTTGGTTTCTGCCTGGTGATCGTTGTTTGCGCGATTACTTTTGTTTCACCCACCGGAGATTGAACAGTTTTGTCTCTTTCCGCAAAGTACCTCTTGCGTCCATTTCCTACTTGCTATTGTCTTTATTCCGATAATGAGTCGGAATCATATTTTGACTTAGCGTGAGTGGACTCGACATCTGTTAGCTCATTTTCTTGGGTCAGCAATAACTAGAAGGAAATAAAGATGGTATTGACGGGGCATGTGTCGTGAATTTTTACTTCATTTAGGATCGCTGATTTCTTGATTGGACTCAACTAAGTGAAGCATCATGTTTAAAGTTTGTCGTACATTGTAATGACTAAAGAGATTATACTTCATTTGTAATATTCATACTCCTCATTATCATACGTCGATTGTAGTATCTCTTTCTCTTATGATCACATTCAGACTCTCTATTTGAATGAGATTTAGTAAATTTACTATTGTACCCCAAATTTGAAAAATGAAGAATTTCAAAAATTCATAGCTTCATTTCACTCTCTATGAAACTATCAAAGAGTCCTAGCATATTTCCTCATGCTCGAATAGGAAGGTGGGTCATCTGCTCTCATCTCACTCGCACCACTACCTTAAGTACAAAACATAGAATAACCTCTTTATTTACACATTACATATCCAATCCCATATTGTTTAATGTAACAAAGTATATGTAACACATAAGAAGATGGGTATTTATGAATAATTTCCTTATGCATTTAGCAAGGTTACTATTTTAATACATTAGTCCGAGTTGGAAAGGAATTTTTTTTATTTTTTAAACGAGATTATTAATTTATCGAACATTCATTTATTAAGATTTTATTGTATTCTTGGTGTTGGGATTATCACTTTGAGATGTCAACCTTATTAGGAGAAATAATTCAAATTCTTGTATATTAGTTATCTTTTTTAAATATAATAGATGTAAAGTTTTACCGTTTTACCATTATCAATACATCCCCCACACAATTTTCATTGTAATATAGCTTAATTAACCACAAAGTGTGATTGGTGTACTAGATAAATTACACCCTTGTTTAGTTTGGATTTAAATCCAATTAAATTTTCAAATCAAAGTTAATAATTAATTTTAACCACATATTTTATGGAACCTACAATTTTTCAACCACAAATCTAATCAACTTTTATAAAAATCTACTAAAAAATTGACTTTAATCTCTACCAAACAGGGCCGTACCTTACAAGCGGCCACTAGAGAGCACAATCAATTGATTAATTATACCATTTATGGCTGAAAAACAATACTTCCTTTTAATGGTTGCCAAGAATCGTATTCTTTATTTCACTAATACTTTCTTTTGATGGTTGCCAAGAACCATATACTTTACTTCACTAATATTTTCTTTTGATGGCTGTCAAGAATCATATTCTTTATTTCACTAATATTTGTGTGAAATGTTTAGTAGGTGTTACTCAATAGTACCATGAAACCTTTTTTTTATTCTGAGAATGCATATAGATATCCATAGTAAGCGCATTAAAATAAACAAATTAAAGTCAAATATAAGAATTTAACTACATCAAATAAAATTCCAAAGGGTTAATAATCTCAATGGCCACTTCAAGGTTCTTCCAATAGTCATTGAGCTTTAAAATGTTTTCCAAATAGTCACTGAGCTTTCGACATTGTACGATGCCGTTGGACGTGTTGCAGTATTTTGAACTTCCATATTCATGGTCTGTTATGAAATTGATTGCAAGATTATGAAAATAATGAAATAAATAAGATAAAATAAGAAAACTAAAATTTATGTGGAAACCCAAGATGGGAAAAATCGCGTGCATAATAGGGAAATTTCACTACAATTAATAATGAATATGTTTACAATATCCAAATCTCAATACTCTCAATTGAAATCTAAACTCTTTAACTCTCAAAATGTTGTTTAATGTGTACATGGAGTTACAGATAAAAAAAGCAAGGGTGTCGATGTTGCGGGGTTGGGCTCTCTGTTTAATTTCCTATTACGGGTTGTAGCACCCACTTTCGATAATTGTATCTCTAAGGTATTTTTTTATCATCTCAAAATATTTTCCCAAGCCAAACTCCCAATTCTTAATGAAATTTGATCTTAATTAATTAGGACTCCCAAAACCAAAACTCCTCAAACTTCTTTTATTCGACCAAAGACCAAATCATATGGAATTTTGGTCACGCCATAACAAATCTCCACATTGAACCAAATTTCAACACAAGGAATTCAAAAAATACATCTCAAAGTAAACGCCACTCATCTTCTTCCAAACAAGCATCAATAGGCTAAATCAATGATAATTATGAACTAAGTTCAAGCAATGCTCAAACTTAGTAATGAGAAGTGATTTTGTCATCATATCAGCAGAATTATTCTTAGTATCAACCTTGCTCAATATAATATCACCACGAGCAATCACATCACTCACAAAATTATACATCACATCAATGTTCTAGTCCTCTTGTGAAACATCTAATCCTTAATCAAGAAAATAGCACTCTAACTATCACAATATACCGTACAAATTTACAACTCTTCACTAATTTCACTAATCAATCATCTTGATAATAGCACATTTGTTACG